CATTCTCTCTTTCTGTTACATTTGAAATTTATTTGATTTTTATTTGGAATTAATCAGTTTCCAGAAATAGCGATTTTCGGTATATTAAAAACTATTCTCGCTTTCATTGTCGTGTTTCCCTTCTAAAACTGCATGTTGGGAATTTAATTTGGGCTACACATATTTAATTAAACTCAAAGAAATGCTTATTTAAATGTTTCATATTTATTTCAGGATATTCAGTCAGAAATGTTAAAATCCGAACCCGATCTTTTAAGCTTACAACCAAGCTATTTACAAAAAATTCAGCATGCTCACAATATCGATGAATCGGGCTACAGTCCATTGATACATTTTCATTAGAGAACAGTGTTAACGTTTTCTCACGCAGCCCGTCCCTTACTATTCCATATACTGCTTGCAAATTCAGGAACTATTTCCTTTTACGGAACTTCTTTCTTCCCCTACCGATTCTAAAAATACGCTTGCATTTCTTCTATAGTCTTAAACAATTAACTTACGTATGTTATCGGAATGCGTGGCCGAATGGTTAGCGCACCTGCCTTTCAACCCAAGGGTTTTGAGTTCGATCCCAGCTGGAGGAGCAATTTTTTTTTTCTTTTTTTTTTTTTTCCATTTTTTGCATTTTTCTCTTTTTTTTTCAACCCAAATGACACGGAAACACTTAAAAAGGTGGAAAGGCCTCTAATTGTTCTCTGAACAATTAGTCTCCTAGTTATTAGGTCTTTCCACCTTTCTGTGGAAAGACCTATTGATTTTCTTCTGTTTATTCTTCTTCTTCTTCTTCTTCTTATTATGTTCCCCAAACGAAGTTGGGGAACATATTGTTTTTACTCTGTTTCTTATTATTATTATTATTTTTCTTCTTCTTCTTCTTCTTCCTGGGTACTTTTTTGTCCGCGAGTGATCTCGTCAACTACTCATCCGATTGAGGTGAAACCTTTTTAGGGTTAATAGGCATGTTTTGTAGATATGCGGAATCAAGGTCATTTTGCGCGCACGTGCATGCACGTGCGTGCGCGTGCAATGCGTAAAATGACCAATATACTTGATATAGCTGTAACTTTTATATTTTTTGATGAAATGCTTTGATACTCAGAATATAAGGATATATTAGAAGTGAAAACAAGATGACATGGTCAATATGCACATGCATGCACGTGTGCGCAGGCGCAAAGCGTAAAATGACAAATATACTTGATATAGTCGTAACTTTGATACTTTTTGATGAAATGCTTTGATACTCAAAATATTTATATATATTAAAAGTGTAGACAAGATGACATGGTCATCATGCACATGCATGCATGCATGCATATGCATGCACGTGCGCGCGCGTGCAATGTGTTAAATGACCAATATACTTAATATAGCCGTAATTTTTTTTATTTTTTTATGAAAAGCTTTGATATTAAGAATATACAGATATATTAAAAGTGTAGACAAGATGATGTGGACATCATGCTCATGAATGCACATGCGCGTGCGTGCAATGTGTTAAATGACCAATATACTTAATATAGCCATAACTTTTATATTTTTTTTATGAAAAGCTTTGATACTAAGAATAAACAGACATATTATAAGTGTAGACAAAATGGCATGGTCATTATGAACATGCATGCAGGTGCGCATGCGTGCAATGCTAAGATGACCAATATACTTGATATAGCCGGAACTTATATATTTTTTGATGGAATGTTTTGATACTGAGAATATAAAGATGCTTTTATAGTATAGATGAGATGACATGGTCATCCTGCACATGCATGCACGTGCGCACGGGTGAAATGCAAAAAACGATCAATATACTTCATTGCCTTATTTAATGAAGCTTACAGGAAATAAGACACCAAAAGGGTGTTGGGGAGCGTTTGGGGAACATCTGTAACGGTCCCCGTTACAATTATAACTAGTTCTTCTTATTATTATTTTTCTTCCGCTGATTTTTTGTTTCGACATTTATCGAAAAGACATTTTGTTCATCGTAAAGGTCATAAAAAGTTATGAACAAATTTGACCCAACGCGTATAACCTATGACCCCTTTCGCAGTTATTGCCCCTTTCACTAGAAACCTTGTTATCGCTACTCCTCCGAAACCGTAAACCGTAGAGTTACGAAACCTTCACCAATGTCTTCGACTAATTGAGAAGACTTTTCAATCTATTCATTACGAAAGGATTTGTTGAGCCCTTTTATGAGTTATTGCCCCTGAAAGTTTTTGAAGTTTACAAATAATGAAAAATTTTCAAAACGATAAGTCGTAGAGACATGAAACCAACTGCATTAGATTCTTTAACCCTAGACCTTGAAGATTATGTCAAGGTCAAAGGTCAAGGTCACTCCAAATATGAGAAATAAAGCTCTTTTTAGAGCTTTTTTGTCTTACAACATATACAGTATATCTTTGCATCTTTTATATGTACTTTTAAAACTATTTCAAAGATTTCAATCTTGTCCCCTAAGCATAAACCTTTTAAAAGTTATTGCCCCTTGTGCGAAAAACCTTGTTATTGCTACTCCTCCGAAACCGTAAACTGTAGAGTTACGAAACCTTCACCAATGTCTTCGACTAATTGAGAAGACTTTTCAATCTATTCATTACAAAAGGATTTGTTGAGCCCTTTTATGAGTTATTGCCCCTGAAAGTTTTTGCAGTTTACAAATAATGAAAAATTTTCAAAATGATAAGTCGTAGAGACATGAAACCAACTGCATTAGATTCTTTAACCCTAGACCTTGAAGATTATGTCAAGGTCAAAGGTCAAGGTCACTCCAAATATGAGAAATAAAGCTCTTTTTAGAGCTTTTTTGTCTTTCAACATATGCAGTTTATCTTTGCATCTTTTATATGTACTTTTAAAACTATTTCAAAGATTTCAATCTTGTCTCCTAAGCATAAACCTTTTAAAAGTTATTGCCCCTTGTGCGAAAAACCTTGTTATCGCCATTCCTCCGAAACCGTAAACCGCAGAGACTCGAAACCTTCACTAATGTATTCAGGGTCTTTAGGCACAACTTTAATCTATCAGTGCGAAAGTATCCGGTGACCCCTTATATGAGTCATCGCCCTTTAACGTCTTTGCGCTTACTAGTAAACCTTATAACTTTAAAAGTTAAAGTCGTAGAAGCATGGGGTTAAGTGCAATGTGACCCTTGACCTTTGACCTTGAATATTTGTTCAAGGTCAAAGGTCAAGGTCATTTCAAAAATTTTAAAATTTTCATTTTTTCCCTCTCTCAAACCATTTCTGGTTTCTTTTGTATAAAAATAAGCAGTAGAGAGTTAAATGTGAAGAATATATGAAATTTAAAGAAGGTGGAAAGACCTCTAATTGTTCGAGAACAATTAGTCTACTAGTTATTATTCTTCTTCTTCTTATTATTATTTTTCTTCCGCTGATTTTTTGTTTCGAATTTTATCGAAAAGATTTTTTGTTCATCGTAAAGGTCATAAAAAGTTATGAACAAATTTGACCCAACGCGTATAACCTATGACCCCTTTCGCAGTTATTGCCCCTTTCACTAGAAACCTTGTTATCGCTCCTCCTCCGAAACCATAAACCGTAGAGTTACGAAACCTTCACCAATGTCTTCGACTAATTGAGAAGACTCTTCAATATATTCATTACAAAAGGATTCGTTGAGCCCTTTTATGAGTTATTGCCCCTGAAATTTTTTGAAGTTTACAAATAATGAAAAATTTTCAAAACGATAAGCTGTAGAGACATGAAACCAACTGCATTAGATTCTTTTACCCTAGACCTTGAAGATTATGTCAAGGTCAAAGGTCAAGGTCACTCCAAATATGAGAAATAAAGCTCTTTTTAGAGCTTTTTTGTCTTTCAACAGATACAGTATATCTTTGCATCTTTTATATGTACTTTTAAAACTATTTCAAAGATTTCAATCTTGTCCCCTAAGCTTAACCCTTTTAAAAGTTATTGCCCCTTGTGCGAAAAACCTTGTTATCGCTACTCCTCTGAAACCGTAAACCGCAGACACACGAAACCTTCACTAATGTATTCAGGGTCTTTAGACACAACTTCAATCTATTCAGTGCGAAAGTATCCGGTGACCCCTTATATGAGTTATCACCCTTTAATGTCTTTGTGCTTACTATTAAACCTTATAACTTTAAAACTAAATGCCGTAGAAGCATGGGGTTAATTGCAATGTGACCCTTGACCCTTGACCTTGAGTATTTGTTCAAGGTCAAAGGTCAAGGTCATTTCAAAATTTTTAAAATTTTCATTTTTTCCATTTTTCAAGCCATCTCTGGTTTCTCTTGTATAAAAATAAACAGTAGAGAGTTAAATATGAAGAATATATGAAATTTAAAGAAGGTGGAAAGACCTCTAATTGTTCGAGAACAATTAGTCTACTAGTTGTAAAGTATTTCGCTTCGGTTAATATGAATTTGTGTTAAAAAGGATGTGTACATGTAAAGGTATATATCAATTATGTGCATGCACGATTGCTTTCAATGTATGAAAAATCGGATTAAAAAAAATAGCACCGAATTATATCAGCAAAATTTAATATTCAATATTGGAAATGTCCATTTATATGGAACTTAGCTCTAAAAATTCATATTTTCTTTTTATTGGCTCTAAATGATATGAACAACAATGAAAATAAGATGATAGAGCTCAGGTAAAAATGTTGGAAAAATATTTAACATACGCAACTTGCATTTTATGACGTTATCTTTACTGGCGTTTTTCTCATTATGACGTCAAAATACATAAGGGCCCTTTTCGCATGGGACGGCTCAAATCATTGATGAGTTATAATTTTCCACTTCCTTATATGCCCAACCAAAGGCATTTTCTTGGCCCACATTCTTTTAAAGCATTTTCAAAATAATCTAACCAACGCAGATCTTTTCTCAGAAATAGATTGCTTTTAAAGACTTTTTGACAATTAGAACATATGAATCACTTACAGAAAACTTACTTGTATAGCACTTTTGTTCAGGAAATGTGATATAATTTTAGATGCTAGAAGAATTCATTTGGAAAGCTTTAGATCTGCTTGACAAGTTGGATGACCTTGGTGAGATTTTGACCAATCCTGAGCTACCAGAGGAATTGAGTGGTGCCCAGTACCGCCTAGAAGAACACAACCACCTGAAGAGAAGGGTTCAGATGGCCCCTGTGGAGCAGCTGGCAATGGAGGGTCACAGAATACTTCAGGAAATTACTGGGGAGGGACAACAACAAGGTCAGTTTATGATGGGGCAGTGTGGCCTTGACACATGCTGATTAAAGCACATTATGCATTTGTGGCACAAGGAAATAATACCTTAATATTGATTTTCTACTTCTTTGTTTAATTTCCTGAAAGATCAAAAGATTTTTTTGAAAAGATTTGTCCTTTTAGATTTTGTTACAAGTATAATAGACCTTTGGAACTAATAATCAGTATTCTTGTACAGTGAGGACAAAATCCTATAATTAAAAGAGAGGTCCTCCTGAAAACCTGCCAAACTAAGAATGAGAGGGAGGGGATAAATTTATGATTTGTGTAACAATTCTGGGATCTAATTTGTCATTTTCATGCTTCTTTCTAAATGCATTCAAATGATTTGAAATACATGTGTATGTCCATAAGAACCTATTTTAGATTCATCAATGTAAATATCAAACTACAGCTGAACTTCAGCATCTGAAATATTGATATCATAAATACCATGGATTTGTTGAAGTAATTTGGAAGTCCTAAGTTCTTTTCCTTAGAATATTTTACCCTCAGTATCTTTAATCCTCAGATATCAAGAAGTTTTATCTCGGCTTCATCCAGTTTGAGATGTACAGTCTGTAGGTTTGACTGTGTGTGAGATCTTTAATTATAATAGATTTCAAGAAAAAATTCATGTCACATACACAATAATTTTGAATATTAAAAATATACAGTTTTAGCAAAAAGATAATTCTGAAGAAAACACTAAGAATAAATTTAACATATAACACATTTGACATTCTTGTGAACTTTTCAGCAGTTGGCTGTGGATATATGTAATGTAAATATTTTGGCATGTAAGCCAACATGTACTAAATACTTATGATACATGTGTATACATATTGATATATTGCCACACACCACCGCTTCCCTGTTTGATGGAGCATATTTCTTTATATTAGTTTTTATAACATGTCTGTATTTCTTATATTCACTTTCAAATTTAATGTTATCTCCCTTTCTTTCATTTTAATATTCCAAAAATATCTTTGTTGGAAACATATTCAGAATATGTATTACAACTTCTGAAGAGAAATGGCTTAAAAAGCTTGAACTTTGAATGATTTTGATTGTTCATACTTTTTCTTTATTTTCTGCTGAACTTAGAGAGCATGTGGAAATATTCAAGTACATGTACTTGATGAATTGAGACAATTGAATCTTGGTATATATTACCAATTTATTCCTAAATCACTGTAAACTATATATAGTATTATTTTGTGTTCATAATGAACAGAACATGGTTAACTTGAAAATATACTTGCATACAATTAAAGTTATATATGGCATATTTTTGATAAGTTCAGACTAACTAAAATTTAAAAAAAGATCTTTCTATTTGTTTATTACTTTATATAAAGATATGACTTTCCTGTAAATTACACAATTTAAATCAATCGCGTTCATAGATAATAGAATTTTAAAACAATAACCAATTTATTTACCGACCCCACATTTAAATATCAGACACAGTGTAAAGTCAATTTAACTATAGAAATGTTTAAAATCGGTGAAAATTTTGATTTGTATGTAAATAACAAATATCATGTTCATCTACACTCAATCTCATATTTTTAATTTTTAGCTCAGATATGCCATATATAGCTTTAAAATTCATGCTCAAATAAATAAAAAGTTGAAATTTTAATTAACTTGATTAAGTTATTCTAACTTTTTAGATTCATCATAATGTAACTAACTCTGTATGAAATTTTTCCCCCATTTTTATTAGTTCACCTGAGCTGAAAGCTCAAGTGAGCTTTTCTGATCACCCGTTGTCCGTCGTCCGTCCGTCTGTAAACTTTTCACATTTTCAACTTCTTCTCAAGAACCACTGGGCCAATTTTAACCAAACTTGGTACAAAGTATCCTTGGGTGAAGGGGAGTTTAAATTGTTAAAATAAAGGGCCAAGTCCCCTTACAAGGGGAGATAATCAAGAAAATACAAAAATAGGGTGGGGTCATTAAAAAATCTTCTTCTCAAGAAGCACTGGGCTTAAAAAGCTGAAACTTATATGGAAGCATCCTGGGGTAGTGTAGATTTTAAATTGTTCAAATCATGACCCCGGGGGGTAGGACGGGGCCACAATAGGGAATCCAAGTTTTACATTGAAATATGTAAGAAAAATCTTTTAAAATCTTCTTCTCAAGAACAACTGGGCCAGAAAAACTGAAACTTACGTGGAAGCATCCTGGGGTAGTGTAGATTTTAAATTGTTAAAATCCTGACCCCCATGGGTTGGGCAGGGCCACAATAGGGAATCCAAGTTTTACATTGAAATATATAAGAAAAATCTTTAAAAATCTTCTGGCTGAAACTTATGCGGAAGCATCCTGGGGTAGTGTAGATTCTAAATTGTTAAAATCATGACCCCCGGGGGTAGGGCGGGGCCACAATAAGTATTACAATGGGGGAAATCTGGTAAAGAACAGCATGGCCAAAGTTACTCAGGTGAGCGATGTGGCCCATGGGCCTTTTGTTTAACTAATTTACACTCAAGGATGTGATATGAAAGAAATCTTTATTAAATATTATTGGTGAGACTGTGTTCAGTAAAACTAGTATATATTGATTGAGGATGTCTGTCTGTCCATCTTTTTAAATGATTACTTTTGTTAAGATTTGTTATTTAATTCTCATATTTAGTGAATAAACTTAGAACTTCTAAGTAAGTTTGTGTTTTCCTTTTAGGTCGGAGATTTGTGATTTCAGGAACAGCTGATTTTCAGAGTTCTGTTCCTCAGATCTCACAGCTTCTGGACAGGATGCATGGCACCAAACAGCATCTGAATCAGCTGTGGCAGGTCAAACGACTCAGGCTGGAACAGTGTCTACAACAGAGGATTTTTGAGGAAGATGTTGAGAAGGTAGAGTAAAAGTTTTCTTTTATTGGTGATGCTGAATCTGTGTTAGGGAGTTAGTGTTGTAAACATTTGTGAAATGGTTACTAGCTTACCAAACACACCTCTCATATAACAAGCATTCCAGATATAAAAAAACATAAAATTCTAATTTGGTAACTTGGTAATTTGGTACTCTCCCTTAGTTGTGTGGGTATTGTATTTCCTTGATAAATATCATTCATTCATATAATGCTAGTGGTTATGACGATAAAATATGATTTAGTTTCTACATTTGTTGTCTAAGTATGTAAGCAGGAAAACAGTTTGTAATTTTAGGAAGATTTTAAAATAACTTTGTGAATATATTTATGATCAGTTTCTTTGTATTAAGGATGGTATTGGTCTTTGTTTTAAATTCATTTTCTAACAACAGTTATATTCAAAATCCTTTCATACTAAATAAATAGGAAATTTACATGTTCTGTTAAATTTTTTTTTTTAGAAATGCTAACATATAAAGTATGTAAATGTTCTGCTGGTATTCATACTTTATTACATGAGCATCAATTAGTATTAAGCCTAGCTGACACAAATGGGTATTGCCTATGTTGGTTAAATTGTGCTCCTCTTATCGCATTAATTTTTGTGATATATGAATTTCTTTGTTAACATTATTATTAAAATCTTTTTTTCCAACATGGTTGAATTAAGAAAAAGAAAATGATATTTTATTTGTGAGTCCTTTTCATTCATATTACATTATTTTAGATGTTTGATTGGATATCCAACAACAGAGATCTATTCCTAGTCAATTACACAGAAATAGGGAACTCCCATCAGATGGCAGTAGAGCTGAACAGTGAACACACACAGTTTGCTAACAGTGCTGTGGTATGTCCTTACTTTTCCTAATTAAACTGTATGTAGGAGACTACAGGACATTTCATATTATACATTCAGTGATTTTTTCCTGAATACTTCATAATGTGAATTCATGTTTACGAGTTCAAAAGAGCTAAACTGCTTAGAGTGTCAGTGATCCATGGTCTGTTTTGCTTATCTGAAAAAAAAAAGTTTCCAGACATCAGACAGGGCTTAAATGTACAAGATAAATTGATTGAAATTTCAAGATAACCACCATGGCCTCTGGTTTGTTTAGCTTTTTCTTATTTGCATAGAGCAAATATCATTTTCATAAGTCTGAGGTTTAAATATGTTAATGTTTCTACAAATCCATGGTTACATCAGGCAGAATTCACTCGTTTTCTTGGTCTTTTGTGAATATTGATGTATGAGGTATTGACACAAAAATTGTTAGCCAATGAAATGATCATACATTGTGTGAAAAGTCTGTAATATCAGCCCCTTATATTAGAATATTTGAGGTGTAGACTAAAATAACTGACAAGTACAAGTAATATATACTGATAGGTATTTCATGAATTAAAGATAAAAAGAAATGCTAGGCAAACATGAACTGAAAACATTCTTATGATTAAATGAGGAAATTCAAACTAAGGACAACACATTTAGATTAAAAGAAATAGTCAACACTTGCATTGCATATATACTCCAAATAGAAAATGTTGGAAGCCTATTAAACTCTGAAAAACTTCAGCTCCATAAATGCCATAGCAAGAGTATTCTCTGATTGGTCAATCATCTTTATTAAATATTGATGACAGTGAGCAAATTCTGCCTGATTTAGCCTTGGAGTTGTAGGATCATGCAGCAGTTGATTAAGAAATGTGGCTTGCAAAACAGAGCCAGTTCACTGTACGTACATTGTAAATAAGAGTTATTTCCCCCACTGTACAAAGTAATTTGCATATAGCTCATGTAACAGATGCAATACTATTGTTTGCTGTTCGATTATAATATTTTAGAGCATTGTGCCTTAGATTTTAAATTGGCACCTCAATAAACAACAGAAGAATCAAAATGATCATAGTAAAACTCTGAAGGATAAAAGACATAATACCAGTATTATGTCACTTGGTCATCATTAAACCCTAGAACAGAAATTTACTGCCAATCCCACAGAATTTTTTTCTAGATGGAAATGTAGACACCCGAAGTGTGCACTATGTCATGGAAAGAGAACAATAAGTTAATTTTCTAATTCTCACCCTGTAATTGAAAAAAAATCAATATAGGACTTCTGTACCAAACTGTTTTATAAAAAGGCTTATTGATGACTTTCCTAGAGTACATGTAATTTTATACTTATGCAAAGATATCTATACATAATGATATGTATAATGATAACATTTTTTATATACATTTTTATCAGTGTTTTAATAATACAGCTGAATTAATGTACACATACTTTTTTCCACGAGGTCATGATTCTGCAGAATCACAATTTCTGTTCAATTCATGGGTAGAAAATTATGCGGATTTCTTAGATTGTCTCTATATGCCTTAATTGTATTTTAAGTATGCTGGGACAAATTTCTGCAGAAAAGTTGTGACCACGTAAATAGCATGAATTTATACCACACAGAAAAAAGTACTTCTAAAGTATGTAAAACTGCTATTACAGAAAACTGTAATATTACATTTTTTCACAATGGACTGGACTGACATGTGCCCATGAATTCCTGAAAGAGCTATAGGTTCACTTCATGCATCAAATGGCCCTGTCAATAGTCATATTGATGAATTTTTATCCATCATCCAATTTCAGTCTATAATATAAAGTTGAGACTTACGTTTTATAAATTACTTAAAAGAAAGCTTCTCCTTAGAGTCCACAAACTAGGAAATGCAAAGTTCTTGAATTTTACAGAAAACTGGTGTACCTGGGTAAACAGGCAGAGCCAGTCATTCAGTATTATAGGCAACGTTTTGAAAAAAAGAATAATGCTACTAACTTAAGTATTTATTCGTTAATTTGCTATTTAAAAGAAATAGATTAAAATGTTGTAGGCCAAAGTTTTGATGGGAAAGCTACAATAGATGTAAATAATTCTGTGTAATTTTTTAAAGAATTTGTTTATAGTGAATTTAGTTTGATTTTTCCTTGTTTATTTAAATTTTGTCCTAATAAATGAATTTAACCAAATTATACTGGCTATATTTGATTGACATTTGATACTTAGGCAATAAAGCAAAGTACATATAGTGATATACTGACCTGGTATCAAGGAAGAACTTCACATCAATTGCATTTATTAAATTAAAATGATTCAAACACTTGTACTTCTTTTTTCCTAGAAAATTAAAAGATAGTAACCATGATCCTCACTTTTAAGTACATTGTAATAATGAAATTCCATTCAGTGAATGAAGAGGTGTACTCTGTTTATGAATGGTTTAATTTTTTTTATCATTTAGTGAAACAGTCTTATTAATGGGGGACCTCTTAAAAAAATTCTGGCTAATGTGCATCAAAAAGAGGAAATAACAAGGAAAATGTGTGGATAGTGAAATTTCCTGAATTTTGTTTCAGAATGTTTATGTAAACATTAAGAGAATACTTGGAATGGCACAGCGTTTGTGTGATGCTGGACATTATGCATCCAACACAATTCGCATGCAGGCAGGACAACTAGAAAGGGAGTGGAAAAGCTTAGCAGCAGCAGTGGAGGATCGAAGTGTGGTGTTAAACATGTCAGTCAACTTCTACAAAAAGGCAGAGCAGGTAATCATGATAGCCTATGTATTTAATTTTACAACAGTCTGCACAATGCGTGTGGACTGATATTTAAACTTGACACAGAAAATGAGAGAATGCAATGTTCAAAAGTGCATTAATTTTGAACTCTTGCTTAGGGTACACCTTCTCTGTGGTATCATTAATTAATTGATTATAATGAGGGGGGATGACTTTCTGATTCTATTTGGTAATACAGTTTAAATCTAAAGAGTGATAAATAAGTATCAGCTATACCTGGATATTGATCTGAATAGGAATGCCCAATTGAGCTAAACTACATACTGTAGATTAATTTCAGTCAAGTTTTGGTCAACATGCTCTTAGATAAAAAGAATGTTATCAAATGGAACCCCCCCCCCCCCCCCCCCCCCTTATGATTATTTTCAAAACTTCATTAAAGACTTGTTGATGTCCTATTGTTACATATTGGCCTTTGTTAAAACATGTGGGTCTTTGTTAAAACGTACATGATAGCTTTCTAATGTTGGACAAGGGGTCAGATTTGTTCAATCTTGATCTTTTAACCTGAATAGAGCCTGAGATATATACAGAAAAAATGCTTGGAAAAATTCCGTCTTCTAATAAAAATATACACTTCAAAAATAACAAAACTATGCTTTCTGAATTTATCTCCAAGTTCCATACAAAATATGTAATTCAAAGTTGTTCAAGTCAAGGCCATTTGTAAAAGTAGGTTCAAAATAGGAAGAAAAAAACCCATTTTTACCTAAAAAGGTATTAGATTCAAATTACAAATATCTATTAAAATTTATTTTGTTGAGAGACAAAACACAGGTTATCAAATTAAGCTTCAAGTATACTTATGCATTTTTTACATGAAGAACACTTAGGGCTTGGATGATATATCAATATATCGATTCTTTGTGATTTGGATACTTGTTTGGATATTTATGTAGAAATATAGATACAGAAAACAAAAATTTCAAGCTTATATTTTCCTTGTTGTAATGTTTTGGGTTTTAAAATGTAAATTAATTATTTTTGAAAATAAAAATGAAATATGTAATAATAAATGCTGCTTTTTTTAAGTACAGTTTAACTTCGGTATCTCAAACACTGATATATCCTGAATATCATGGATATGTCAAAGTGATTTGGAAGTCCCAACCACATATTCTTTAATTATTTTACCATTGATATCTCAAAGTTATTTCTCTTCCCAAGCGAGTTCCAGATAATGATGTTTGATTGTAATTCTGTTTTACAACAGATATACAGCTTCTGTGAATAAATGATTCTTATTTGTGAAGAAATATATTCTTTATTTCAATACAAAATAAGAAATTTCATAAGCAGTTAAAAGTAGTACTATCCAAATAGTATTGTGGGTCAAATATTTTGATACGGATCAATATATCATCTCAGTCCTAGCTAACACAATCATAAAATGGTGATAAGTCTGATGCAGTGTTTGGTCTGGTTTATTTAGATTAAATCCATTAAGAATTGGACTCATGAATGGTCTACATATTTAGGGAAATATTTTGAATGGAATCATGAAGTGATCTGCATTAATATACAGTATGTTTTCCAACTTGGCTGTTGGTGTGTGCATTGCTCAACTTCAGACACATACACTGTATATGTGTAATTAAATTTGAATATATTAATCCTAAATCAAGACAATCTGTCATGGCCACTTTTCTATCATTTAGAATCTAAATTAGTTACATTCATTTCCAAATTTCAATCTATTGAAAAGATACTAGATAGAATATTCTGATCATAACATATTGCAGTATAAGAAGATAATTTTAAATTTCTTTGGAACTATATAGAAGAAAATGTTGCATGCTTTGTTGATTTGAGAAAGAAGTTCTTTAGAGAAAGTAAAAAATAACTGAACCAATTAAAAACCACGGCTCTGAAAGGTTATAACAACTAGGAACACTTTCAAAACACAAAATTTCTGATTGGTGATTTTGAGAAAAGGAGAAAATATTTTTGTGACTCAATAGACAGGCCAAACATGTAGCTCTTTTAACATTGATATTAAAATAACTTTTTTCCAGACCAGTAAGGGAACATTATTGCGAAGTTTCTTGGAATGCGTGTAGGTCTTGTAAATACAGAAGTTTATAATGAGAACAGAGAATGGAAGATAGAGAGACAAACTATGTAATTACCAACTTTTATTAGTTGACTCAGTTGAGCCATGATCATTAGATTTTTTTTTGGTATTAAAAATTTTATCTAAATTAATTACCTTGACAAATTACACATTTATTAAGATGAATATTATTAGCTCACCTGAGCCGAAGGCTCAAGTGAGCTTTTCTGATCGAAATTTGTCCGTTGTCTGTCGTCGTCGTTGTCGTTGGTGTCATTGTCGTAAACTTTTCACATTTTCATCTTCTTCTCAAGAACCACTGGGCCAATTTCAACCAAACTTGTCACAAAGTATCCTTGGATGAAGGGAATTCAAGTTTCTTCAAATGAAGGGCCACGCCCTCCTCCAAGGGGAGATAGTTACAAAATAGCGAAAAATCAATGGCATCATTGAAAACTCTTCTTCTCAAGAACCACTGGGCCAGGAAAGATGAAACTCATACGGAATCATTGTCAGGTAGTGTAAATTCAAATTTTTTCAAATCATGACCCCCGGGGGTAGGGTGGGGCCACAATGGGTGTTCAAAGTTTAACATAGGAATACATAATAAAAATCTTTAAAAATCTTCTTCTTAAGAACAGCAAACCCATGATGGGTCATATTTATATGGAAGCATCCTCAGGTAGTGAAGATTCAAATTTGTTCCAATCATGACCCCCGGGGGTAGGGTGGGGCCACAATAGGCGATCAAAGTTTTCCATAGGAATATATAGGAAAAATCTTTAAAGATCTTCTCAAGAACAGCAAAGCCATGATTGATCATATTTATATGGAAGCATCCTCAGGTAGTGAAGATTCAAATTTATTCAAATCATGACCCCCGGGGGTAGGGTGGGGCCACAATGGGCGGTCAAAGTTTTACATAGGAATACATAGGAAAAATCTTTAAAATCTTCTTCTCAAGAACAGCAAAGCCATGATTGGTCATATTTATATGGAAGCATCCTCAGGTAGTGTAGATTCAAATTTGTTCAAATCATGACCCCCGGGGGTAGAGTGGGGCCACAATGGTGATCAAAGTTTTACATAGGAATATGTAGGGAACATCTTTAAAAATCTTCTTCTCAAGAACAGCAAAGCCATGATAAGTCATATTTAAATGGAAGCATTATCAGGTAATGTAGATTCAAATTTGTACAAATCATGATCCACAGGAGAATAGAGGGGCCATAACAGGGGATCATACAAAGGAATACAAAGGATATATCAATCAAAATTTTCTTCTTAAGAACAGCAAAGCCATTATTTGTCATATTAATTCAAAAGCATCCCTATGAAGTATAGATTCAAGTTAGTTCAAATTAACACTCCATCCCCCCCCTCCCCCCCCCCCCCAAGACTGAACTGATTTCTGCTTTTTCCTAGCCAGAGTGCTCAGGTGAGCGATGTGGCCCCTGGGCCTCTTGTTAGTGTGTAAGTGTTTCTAATTGTCCACTATATATATATGTTATTCTTCTTCCATTAAATCAGAGAAAGTAAACTAGAGAAGTGTTTACAATAAATGTGATATCTGACTGCTTCAACACTTGTTAGTTGAAGTGCCACAGTAAGTTGAATTCTTATTAGTTTTTAATGTATATGTTGTCCAAAAGCAAGCCTGTAATGGTATTTTAGCAAAAAGGAATCTCGTCAGCAGTGTTCAGGAAGTCAGTGTAAGTGGTACATACCATTGAGTGTTAGGTACATTAATAGGTTATATCATGCGGAAACTAAAATCAAATAGTGTTTGTTATGCAATATGAGTGCACATAAATCAGTTGGAATAGCAAGGATGCACTAATTCATTGTCCATTCATGAACACGAAAGATTGATTTCCAGGAAAGGTTAGACAAATTTCCTTTCCTCCTCTGTAGACATCTAAATTTTAACTTTTGATTAACCTGTAGCAAATTTTTGCAATTGTGTGAGTTTTCATAAATTTGATAAAAAGATGATGTAATAATATCATTTGAATTCCTTTCATTTCAAAAGATTTTCATTGTAAAGGTTGTTTCTGATTTTCTAGCTGATTGCAGGCCTTTATGTAATATTTTCTTTTGTTTAGTACTTGGCCCAGGTGGCAGGCTGGAGACAGGCTTGTGAAGATGACCATCTTCCTGCTGAAATTGAAGAATTGGAGCTAGCCCTACATCAGCATCAGAATCTCACAGAAGTCATCTCACAATGTTATACTGATGTAAGTAGTCATCTCGCAGTGTTATACAGATGTAAACTGTGGTCATCTCACAGTGTTAAACTAATGTTAGTAGTCATCTCACAGTGTTATACTGATGTAAATTGTGGTCATCTAACAGTGTTATGTTGATGTAAGTAGTCATCTTGCAGTGTTATTCTGACGTAAGTAGTCATCTGGCAGTGTTATGTTGATGTAAGTGGTCATCTGGCAGTGTTATACTGATGTAAACTGTGGTCATCTCACAGTGTTATACTGATGTAAGTAGTCATCTGGCAGTGTTATACTGATGTAAACTGTGGTCATCTCACAGTGTTAAACTAATGTTAGTAGTCATCTCACAGTGTTATACTGATGTAAGTAGTCATATTGCAGTATTATACTGATGTAAGTAGTCATCTTGCAGTGTTATACTGATGTAAGTGGTCATCTGTCAGTGTTTCACTAATGTTAGTGGTAATCTAACAGTGTTATACTGATGTAAGTAGTCATATTGCAGTATTATACTGATGTAAGTAGTCATCTTGCAGTGTTATACTGATGTAAGTAGTCATCTTGCAGTGTTATACTGATGTAAGTGGTCATCTGTCAGTGTTTCACTAATGTTAGTGGTAATCTAACAGTGTTATACTGATGTAAGTAGTCATCTGGCAGTGTTATACTGATGTAAGTAGTCATTTCACAGTGTTTAACTGAGTAGTCAACCAATAGTCAAGTCACAGAGTAATTTGTTAGCTATAAGTCTAAATCCATTGTTTTGAACTGTCAGATGTACATGTAACTAAAGTAAGAATTTCTTACATAATGATGAGGTACACTAATTGTTAGTAGGAAGCTGGAATTCCTTCAGATCTTATCTAAATACATACATGTATTTAACATTTGGCAATGGCACTCTTTTTTTATTCTCTCTGAAACAATAAATGTAAAAGTTTCATTTCCTAAAATCACAAGTAGATCTGAATTGATTGATGAATAAACCTTTTTTGATAAACATTGTGATACAATCATGCAAGTTTATTTTTAACTTAATTTTAGAAACGTACAAGTATTTTGCTTGAATGATACAGGACCTCACTTTTTTAAAAAGTGATTTGAGTTTCACAGAATCACATGAATGTGTTATATGATTAAAACAAGCTGATAAGCTGTGTAGTCCTCATTATTGACATTTTAGTTTCTATATTTGTAGGTTTGTAGAGACGGGAAACAGCTGTTGGAGACATTACAGACACCGGTGACCTCTAGCAGCATCAACAGTATTACAGCCAAGGCAGACTACTCTGAAGCTTCTGGCCATGTGCTAGATGTCATCCATGATGTTAGTTTTCAAAGCAAAATGTTTTTCATCAGTAATTCCTAAAATACCAAAACTTATCTAAATATGAATTTTTGAATTTATGATGATTTTCATTCCTCTCAAAACTTAAGTAAGATACTGACCAGAAAAGAGTCTTTTTCCTCATTGAAAATTGATAAAATGTTGATATTCCCTTATATTCTTATTTGACCAAAACAACATGTTTTTCTGTAAACATATAAAACAGTATATAGTATTCCCTATGTACTTTAGGTTTTAGCCCACCAGCGACACTTAGAACAAATGTGGCACTCTAAGCGGGTCAAGCTTCATCAGAGACTGGGTCTGAGGTTGTTTCAACAAGACGTCAAACAGGTCAGCAGTTTGTCCAAGTCTTATAAAATAGATTACAAAAATTATTACTTGTAGAACTAATGAAAATAGGAAAAAACATTAATGGAAAGGTTTCCACCAAAGTAAAATATAGTTAGTCTTCTGATTGTTTTGTTGCAGTCACTTATTGGGACATCAACATTTGTAAACATAAACATGATGAGGAAATAATAATGAAAAAAATAATATATGAAGATAATTTGTTTCACATCCTTGTTATTTAGAGTTAAATATTAAGTTTCTGGTCATTTCATTATTAAATTCAGGTCATAGACTGGTTAGAAAACCATGGAGATGTCTTTTTGAAGAAAAATACCTCAATTGGTCGAAGTTTACAAAGAAGCAAAGCTTTACAGAAGAGTCACCAACATTTTGAAACCGTTGCTAAAGTAAGAATGCAGTATATTGACTATTATCAATACAATATAATCATCCACTTCGTGTTTTATATTAAGTTACATTGTACTGTAAAGTTGCATACATTTTACATTTACATTTTTTGGTCAGAAAATTGTTCAAAAGTTTTGGGAACCTACTTTATATGGGAACTAAATCCAAACCCCTTGTTCTGGACACTTTTCTTAGCTCCAGCACTTATTTCATCGATGTAATGTTGGTTGTTAGTTTATTGCATAAACACAATCATGGGCTTGGAATGCATTATCAACATAACATGATAATGTGTTTGGAGCTATTTTGAAAGAAAATATTTGGGTACTTTTAAATTTTTCTTAACAAATATATAATTAAAGAACAATCAAAATGTAAAATAATCTTAGATACATATATTGTATGTAAATGTAGGTTACATTTAAACTGCATTTACAAATAAAACTAGCTCACCTGAGTTGAAGGCTCAAGTGAGCTTTTCTGATCACTATTTGTCTGGCATCCATCTGTAAACTTTTCACATTTTGAACTTCTTCTCAAGAACAACTGGGCCAATTTCAACAAAACTTGGAAAAGGGGATTTAAATTTGTTCAAATAAAGGGCCACACCCTCTTTCAAGGAGAGATAATTAAGAATTATTGAAAATTTAATGGCATCTTTTAAAAATCTTCTCAATAACCAATGAGCCAGAAAAGATGAAATTTATATGAAAGCTTTGTTACATAGTGTAGATTCAAGTTTGTTCAAATCATAACCCCAGGGGCTAGGGCAGGGCAACAATAAGAGATCAAAGATATACATAGGAATATATAGGAAAAAATATATTTAAAAATCTTCTTCTCAAGAGAAGTGAAGCCATGATTAGTCATATTTATATGAAAGCATCCTCAGGTAGTGTAGGTTCAATTTTGTTCAAATCATGACCCCTGGAATAAAGTGGGGCCATGATGGAAAAATCAAGTTTTTCATAGGAATACATAGGAAAAATCTTCTCAAGAGCAGTAAATATATTATTACTTGTATTTATATAGAAACATCCTCAGGAAGTGTATATAGGTTCAGTTCTTTTCAAATATTGATCGTAGGGGTAGGGTAGGACCACAATAGGCGATCAGAGTTTTACATAGGAATACAAAGACACTTTTTATTTTATGTCTTCCACTCAAGAACAACAAAGCCAGGATTAGTCATATTGTTATGGAAGCATCCTCAGGTAGTGTAGATTCAAATTTGTTAAATTCTTGACTGCTGTTGGGCCACAATACGTGATCAAACTTTTACAAAGGAATATATGGGGGGGGGGATAACAGCAGGACCATTAGTAACTCATGTGAGCAATGTGACCCATGGTTGTCTTGTTAAATGATATAAACATGGTCTGTAGAATTCAACTCTTTTACATCTCATGTTGATTTTGAAGTCTTAAACTTTGTGTAAACAAAAAAGAAAAAGAGATGAACTCTTACTTTATTTCTTGAATCCAAGTAATCATTTAATAATATTTTGCCAACATATGCATTGTACTTATGAAAAACATAGGGAAATAAATCTCAAATATTTTCATGTTTTTTTTTTTCCTGCGCTCTGGATTCTGTCTAATCCAGGCAGTATTCATGGAACCAGTGGTATCCAGTTTGGACAAATTATACTATATATTTGTTTAATCTGTCAACATGCAGTTATGTTCTTTGATTAACACCCACTTATCATTTCTTCTCAGAATACCATCACCAATGCAGACAAGCTGTTGTCGGCAGCAGATGAGCTGGCCCACACTGGGGAATGTGATCCCAAGGAAATCTATAGGGAGGCCCAAGATCTACAACAGAGGATGGGGAATTTTCTTACTTCCCTGGAGAGGC